GGCAAGGGCAACCACTATTCACGTGAATAGTGGCTGCCCTAGCTCCCCCCTTGCCATGGCTAAGGGCAATATGGGTGGAGTTGCTCTTAAGACCGACAAGTTTGGTGTCCCTTTTATACGACGTAGATCCTGATGAAAATAGAATGCCAGAAATAAATTTCTACTCTTTCAGTAGGCACTTTCCGAGATCTGACGGTACGAACGCACCTACCTTCTTCTTTTGTTCTTATTCTTCTTTTTTTATTAAATTTAGTGTGCAGGATGAATATGGAAAACAGAAGAAACGTCTCCTGAATTTCCCTGTAGAGGTGTGTAAAGTATTTAGTTTTTGCTGCTTTTCTTCGTCTCTAATTTTTTATTTTGACAATGTAATTGGGATGAATGTAGGAACTTGAAGAAATTACAGGATGTGAAAATTATATCCGCCCAAATGTTAGTAGTGTTGCTTTATTTTGTTTTCTTTTCCTTCGATGGTTGCTGCATTGCAAATTTGTTTCTTTCCAGTTTGGTCTGGTCTTCCAGCTCTAGCTGCAGTTAAATGTAGTGAGAATATATATAAAAATAATGATACGTGTTTAATGTTTGTTTGTTTGTTTTGAATGAATAGAATGACCTGGCTGCTGCTATATGGGGTTCTGTTCAAGCCGCAAAACTAGTGAAGTGTATTGTGTGGGACTGCATTGGACGCAAAGTGCTTCCTTGTATCAGAGGGGATTGAAAGATTATCTTTAAGTGTTCCATGGTCTTAAAAACTTGAGTTTATAATGAATTTGAATAATAATCTCATCTCATCTCATCTCCAGGTTGAGATTCCAGTTATGATGAACTTATGATGGTGGTTTTATCCGGACCCCACCCTACCGAGGACAAATTAAAGTTTGTTAATTGTAATTATAATTTGTAGCTACTACTTGGTTCTCTTTCTCATATGATTCAAATTCTTTATTTCTTTTTTTTTTTATATCATCTTTCCAAAATTTTCACCATTTTTTGAAGAAAATAATAAATGTCGGGGGAAAAATAAAAACCCTTAAACTGTAAGCGTAACCTTATGACTCAAGAGTCAAGAGCATAAGGTTGCTGCCAAAAAATGAAGGGTATATTAGTGATTTGCCCCCTGAATTTGTACATAACTTTCAATTTACGCCTTATTCTTTTTTTTATTTATTTATAGAAAATTAAGGATATGACCTTCTTTTTTTCGCCAATTTCCCCTCTCTGTTTAAATTCACAACATTTCATCTAATTTGCAGTTAAAAATAAGGGCAAAATGGTCATTTAGTACATTAAAAATAAATAAAAATATAAAAATATAAAAATATAAAAAGAAAACTAATTTGGGCTTTACGCCTCTGATCTTGCCCAAATACTCCCTCCAACTCGCGAGGGTCCACATTTCATTCCTGCACCAATCCCTCCGGCCTTTGAATCATCGATCCAACTGTAGTTCATATGGACAGACTCGGTTAAAACAAACGCGTGATTAGGTTTAGTTTGCTTCATTCGTTAGTTTGTTAGGAGGAATAATCTTTTTAGTTATTAAGTTTACGTACACAGACTCGGTTAAAACAAACACAGGCTTTGTATATATAAAAAGCCTCATTGTAATGATTTATTCATAATGAGAAAAGTAGAATTTTCAATCCTCTTTCTTTAGGCTTCTTCTCCACTCTCGAGTCTCAAGTCTCAAGACTTATTGCGTTGGATAAAAATGGTGTATGTGCAGGGGCTGGGTTGGGCTGATCAGTCAGTGGGTCTGATATTCACACTCTGCGGAGCGGTGCTCTTGATCATTCTCACATCCTCAGTCGATGGCCAACTTTGTTCAAAGAGGCCCGTCCACATCTTCAACTTTGGCGACTCCAACTCGGACACGGGTGGACTCGCCGCCGGACTCGGCTACTCCGTCAATCCCCCCAACGGCCGTACCTTCTTCAGCAGCTCCACCGGTCGCCTCTCCGATGGACGCCTCATCATCGACCTCCTCTGTAAGTAGACCCTCGCTCCCTCTCTTTATACTTGTTAGGATCATAGGATTAAATTTAATAGTCACCCTCGTGGTCTTATGACAGAGTGAGAGGAGCATGCATTAAAAAATGGAAACTAAGATAATGTTTTTTCCTTGTGCAGGCCAGAGTCTGAATGTGAGTCTATTGAGTCCATACCTAGACTCTTTGGCAGGCTCCAACTTCTCAAATGGGGCAAACTTTGCCGTTGTCGGGTCCTCTACCATGCCGAAGCGTGTCCCTTTTTCTTTGAGCATTCAAGTCATGCAGTTCATCCACTTCAAGGCTACTGCAGGTACATTTGGAATTTGAATTTCCATGAGTTATTTGGCTCAGTACACTGCTGAATGTGAACATAGATATTGAGCTTGTGAAAATGTTCTTGTGTTGTGAAGATGTTCTTGTGAAAACCAGCTGACTGAATGACACTGCTCAATGTATGTTTAGGTTTCAAACATTTGATAAATGATGAAGGTTTTCGGAAAGCACTTTACATGATTGATATCGGACAAAATGACCTTTCTGATTCTTTCACTAAAGACCTTTCATACGTTCAAGTAACAGAGAGAATTCCTTCAGTTATTGAAGAAATCAAGAGTGCCGTTAAGGTGAGTTCGGCGTCTATACAAACGATCATAAAAATGGCCGGCAGAGTAAAGAAATTACGACAGAAATCCTTAGAGAAATTGATTTGTTATGACTTTATATCAATGCTGAAATTTATACTGCATCAATTGTAGGCTTTATACGATCAAGGTGGAAGGAACTTTTGGATACACAACACCGGGCCGTTGGGTTGTCTCCCTCAAAAACTTTCATTAGTTGAGAAGAAGGATTTGGATTCATATGGATGTCTTTCGAGTTACAATGCGGCTGCGAGATCGTTCAATGAAGCATTGCTTGATTTGTGCAACGCGATGAGATCTGAATTGAAGGATGCTGTGATAGTTTATGTGGATATATACGCCATCAAGTATGATCTCATTGCCAACTCCACCAAATACGGTAAGCCTTCTTATGTTAAAGCAAGTAGCTTGCTGGTGAATTAGTTCAGTCTAGTTTAGGGGCAGTGCAATTTAATTTTGATGAATGTGTTACAATGTAGGTTTCTCTATGCCGCTAATGGCATGCTGTGGCAACGGAGGTCTGCCATACAATTTCAATGTCAGGGGGCTCTGCGGTCAACCTGGCTCTCATGTTTGCGACGAAGGATCCCGATTTGTGAGCTGGGATGGAATTCATTACACCGAAGCTGCAAACACCATCGTGGCCTCAAAGATACTTTCCACGAATTATTCCACACCACGCATTCCATTTGAGTTCTTTTGTGGCAGCTAGTCTAGGGTATGAAAATCAGCATCACTGCATGCTCAAAGGCTTGAAATTGTTGTACTGGAATGTCCAAATAGGAAATTACAGTTATAGGAAGTGTATCATGTTGTTGTAAAACTTTCTCTTAAGCCTCAATTTTGTATTATAAAATTGAGGACCCTTCTGTTGTTATTATGGACTAGGCATATAATTATTTTGTTAGTGTGTTTGGGCCTTTCAAATGAAAGTAAAACAACAAACTCTGAAATAATATATTTTTCTAGAAGCTAGTCTTGAAAAAAAGAAAAAAGAAAGTCAAAGTTATTGTTTTCTTTTGACTTCAATTGTGGTTTCATGAAGGGCAAATTAGTCTTTCAGGTATTAAAATTTTAGGGAAAGGCTCTTGGATTTGAGCCCAATGGGCCCACATTTATTTCATGCGTACTCCACTCTTCTTCCCTCTCCCCGTAATGGGGATACAGAAACTCAACTATGAGGACGTCATTTGACTTTTCTCTGTGATTAGGGTTTCAAACAAAAATGGCCAACCACAATGAAGAGCCCACTGGGAGTAACAACGTCGCCAAGGGCGAGGCTGAGCAGCAGTGAGGCAAGTCGAATTCAAATGCAAATGCCCCCATCGGCAACCTCCGCTTCCTCATTAAGACCGACAAGTTTGGTGTCCCATTATACGACGTAGATCCTAATAAAGAAGTCAATATGATGCCAGAAATAAATTTCTACACTTTAAGAAACTTATTTTCTTCCAATAAATAGTAAGAAAAGGAATGACAAATATGAAAATAAGGGCCTCTGTCGTAGGCACTTCCCTAGATCTGAGGGTACGCACACACCTTCGTTCTTCTCTTGTTCTTATCACTACTACGTTTCACTATTAGCGCGACGAAATATTGCGCGACGAAGAACAACTCGTCGCGCAAACATTACTTGCGCAACGAAAACAACTATTCGTCGCGCAATCCACTGAAAATTTGCGCCACCAAACTTTTTTGTCGCGCAAAATGTATATGCGCGACAAAACAATTTTTCGTCGCGCAAATAGAGTTAAAAAAAGCGGGGGGAATTTTTTTAACGTGAAACATTTGCGCGACGAGAAATATCGTCGCTAAAGGCAACATTGCGCGACGAAGAAATTCTCCGTCGCGCAAAAAGGACAGTCCCCTCATTTAGCGCGACGGAAAGACGTTTCGTCGCGTAAGAGAACAAGAGATATTTTATTTTTTGGCGCCAAAAATGACCTGGGTGGGATATTTTCTTTGCGCGACGTAATTACATTTCGTCGCGTAAAGTTCAACGTTTACGCGACGAATATCTT